GTTTAAATATCTCTAATATTACATTAATTTCTAAATAAATAAATACATTTACTTTAAGAAGCAAAAAAATATTTCAAGTTTATTTTTTGATTTATGAACATTTATAGCGTGATTTCATAGAAATTCATAAAGGAAAAAGTAAGGAAACTAAATTAATTCAATAATTTATTTTATTTTTCGTTTTCTGTTAGCTGTAAAATTCCTTGCAGCTATAAAATAAATTTTTGAAGTATATATTTTATTATTAACCAAAGCGTTTTCTTATTTACAGTTGTATATTTTTTTAAATTTATTTCTAAGAAAATCGGTTATTTTGTTAAGATAAGTAATGCTTTTTCATATTGAGAGAAAAGCTATAAATATATTCTAAATGATCGCTATATTATACTATTTCCTTCCATTTTCTATTGAAAATTTGACATACGAGACAAGAAAAATTCTCATATAATTCAATAAGTGCTTTGAAATTCAAATGAAATTCTCTAAAATATAACCAAGTAATCCCGGTAAAGGCAAGTGCATTGTGATGATTGCTATTGCTACTATCATATATTATTTTGCTTCTACGTCAAAAGTCAAATTACATTTTAGCTATTTTCGTTATTACTTATTAATGTTAACGTTATTATGTGTGGTTGTATATATATATTCAGATATATAGATTTTATACAATGACTTCTATAACGAAATTTCTGAAATTTTAATATAATTTCCTTCATTAAAAGTAAAATTTAAATAGAAAAATGATCGTGTTTCCTGATATTTTTATTGAAATTTATATAGAATTTTCTTCATTTTAAGTAGTAAAAATATGAAATAAAACGAAGCAGTTTGATACAATTTGATAAATTTTAATATAAAATGCTATAAAATAAAATAAACATTAAAATTTGAATTATTGTTATTCTATACACAGTTGAGTAATGAAATTTGCTGATATAAGCAGATAAGAAGAGCTATAATACAGCTTTACTTCTCGAATGTCGATCTCTTAAGGCTATAGAAACATATCCCTTGCGGGTTTACATTCTTAATTCAATATTGATCTGTTTAATATCGACCAATATTCGCAAAGTATATAAATGAACTCGGTTTATTCTGTTAATTAAATAATGTTTAAATAATTATCTCTTAAGTGAAGTTATTAAGGAAACATTTAAGCTATATAAAAAATTAAGTGAAAAAATATATTTTATTAAATATGAAATATATTGAAAGGTTAGTAAATGACTTTTTTATATCCTGGTCAAGAAAATTCTATAAGTTGTATTGATAAAGGAAAGACATAAAGATTCTATTTTCAACAAAACAGTTTTATCTCGTCAACAGTTAGGTGGTCTGTGTTTACTCTATTTCAATTCCCTTGCGTTCTTACACGTTCTGTTCTGTGGACAGCATTTTTAGAAATGTCCTCCGTGCATCATGACACAGATGAACTCAGATAAATTTCTTTTATTATAACTGAAAACGATAAACTTAAGCAAACAAAAAAGGAGCTATCTTCAGTTATCTCTGCCTTTTTTCCCTCTATATTTACTATAGGATACAGTATATAGGCCTATGTTTAAACTTTTCAATTTAATATAATGTATAGGAACTTATAGACTTTGTCGAGGTGTATCTCGCTCAAGTTTACATGTAAAACTCATAAACTTTATTTAATGTTTATATAAACTGTATATTCGTAAAAATTTGTAAATTTTCTTTCTCTTTATCTATAGATAATGCTTTAATATAGATTAGTAGATATAATTTCTCTATATATCTTCTACTAAAAATATTCTATGTTTTAGCCTAAATGTAAAAACTGTCTTAACTCGTATTTAGAATATTTTAATTTAAAATTCAGATTTTAATGTAGAATTTCCACAGATTTGATCTCAAGTAGAGAAGAATTTGTTTTAAAATATTTGGATGATTTAATTTTATTATTTTTTATATACATATATCTCGAAGTTACTATAGGATATGAAGAATATATATCTTATAAAAACCATGAAATTATAGAATTATATATCAAATTAATTCATATTTCTGTTTGAATCAATATTGTGAACTTTATTCATTATTCTTTAATTAATTTAAAACTTGTAAACCTTTTTAAATTGGTTTATATAGAACATATATCTCATAGTAACTAATTTAGAAATGTTTACAAGTTTTGAATTAATTAAAGAATAACGAGTAAAGTTTACAACAGAAATATGAATTAATTTGATATATAATTTTATAATTAATTATAAAAATCTTATAAAGTATTTCTATCAATATATTATTAATATAACATCAAAGGCTATCTAGAGATATGAATCATTTTTCTTTTTATTACAACTTTTTTATAAATTTGAATTTTTTAAAAAAGTTTCGTTTATCAAAAATGCTGTAATCTTTACTAAAGAGAAGATAAGAGATAACTTTCTTATATAAAAAAAAATTCTCGACAGAATTGCCGAGCTATAAAAATAGAAAAAGGACCGTTCTCCATATCAAAAATTTACATAATTTTTAAAAAAATATAGAAAATATCAGCAAAGTTCTAACGTCACTACTTATATTTTTATATAAATATCGACTCTACTAACAAATCTTCTACAAACTTATCTTTAAATGAAAACAATTTAAAATTCACGTATATATTTTAGACAGATTCCTGTTTTACAAGTGGTTTAAGAAAAAATCAGTCATTGTTGAAAGTAACGTGGTAAAGTTTTTGGGAGTTCAGCAAACTTTTAAGAAAGGGAAAAAGGTATTTTAATGACAACAAATCAATCAGACAGTAGTGTCCGGATCAATGGCAATTCTATTTGTTGAGTAAAGATCTCATCGGGTCAGCTATACTTCTTCAGCGTGCAAACCATGAAAAAAACGTAAGACCTATTGTAAAATCACGTGACAGGCGTTCAATTTAAGGCGGATTGCCAAGTTCCTGCTTGAAAAGTGCAGCTTTAAAGTAATGGATTGATTGTACTGTTTCATAGTTTAATCACTGATTTACCGTAAAGTAACTTTTAATGAAAATTTAAAATGCGGCCTTACAAACAACAAAATTTATGATTAACTGAATTGTATTAGAAGTATTCTGTAAAACATAAAGAGCCATCAAAATAACAATTTTTAAATATTATTTTTATTGAATATTTGAATTTGTATGATTCTCAAATCTGATTAACCAGAAATTACACTGTTTAAAACTTGCAAAAATTAATATATGTATATATAATTTTACTATTCTCTCTTTAAGTATGAAATTTAATTAAATATATTCAAGGTTACGTAGGACAAATAAATAAAATATAATTTAAACTAGCTGGAGTGAATTTTTTAATTAATATTTATCACTTCAATATTACAGTTTATATTAAAAATTAATATAGAAATAATAAAATCTTAACAGTTATATACAAGTACAGCTATCCATTTTCGAGATAAGAGTGTGAATCATAGGCGTTATATATATATATATATATATATATACACGTGTATGTGTGTGTGCTTGTGTGAATACCTCGTAATGATAACATTCAACGTGTAATGAGTGAAGGGAAAGATTTTTTTTTCTTCCGAAAAACTCTCGCATGACGGTGAATCAAAGAGGAAACAGCTGGTGTTATCAGTTGGGAGTACAGCTTAATCTTCTATTAGCCGCAGAGAATAACTAATACTTGTCATCGTAACCCTGGGGACACAGACACTTGTCAAACAGCTATCTGGTAATATCAGATTCTCTCGATTTCTCTAAATCTTCCATCTTAACGGGCCGTTTTATAAGACATAAAATTTTACTGCTGGTTTCAAAATTATAAGTAGAAAAGTTTAACCTGAAATATTGCGTAAATTCATGTGTAGCTAGTATATAGAAAAGCATTTTCTTAGTTATGTGATAAAGTTTTGGAACTTCTCCTGATGGGAATTCATGATTCGTTCTTTAAGTATTCACGTGCTAACAGTAATTCCTCTCGAGTTCTCTTCAGATCAAGGAAATTCCGAGAAAATGACAGCAGAACCTCTTCTCTTTCAATCGATTCTCTTCCTTTATATTTGTTATTTTTGAAGTTTCCAATAAAGAATTTCATTGATAAACCATACGATAAACAGTTATAAAGAATAAGACATCCAAGTAATCATTTATATATATATAACTGTTTGTAATTTAAATTTTATACATCTAATAAATAGTCATAATACAGTAACATGAATTTACAACAGAATTCTTAAAGATAATATTAAAGTATACGACACGTCATAGCATCTGTTATTTTCTTTTTATAAACAGTAATAGCAAGTTTGATTTTTTTAAATATTTTTTTAGAATTGCTGTTGAATTTCTAAACCATATTTGAAAATGAATGATTTCTTCTCCGCCCAATAAATTTTTTAACACGAGATTCTTTTGTTTTAAAAGAAATTGATTCAACTCCCATTCTACACCAAAATCGATTTTTCCAGTAACTATGCCTATTTTCTACAAGGAAATAGATACAGCACTACGCAGATATATTTAAAATGCGTGTAAAGAATGCAAAATATTTTAATACGAGAGATTAAAATTGAAAATATTTAAGGCAATTAACCCAAATATAAACAGGTAACGCGACTGAGAGTTAATGGAATTAAATGTAAAAAGAATACATATATTAAAAGTTAAGATATTTTTAGTTATTAGGTCATATAAAGGAGTTCGTTTGTTCTGTCGATCCTTCCATTAACACTTCTTTTGTCCCATTAGCTAGTGTTCCCGGAAGCACTTTCTTTAACAGAGAAACCTATCCTAACATGTCTACATCAACAAAGCTAAATTGACTTCTTTTCTAGCCACAGTTATTTCTCTAGAGATTATGACTTCTGCTCACAAACTGCACATTATTTACTATAATCATCTACTTTGTTATATCTATAAAATCCTATTTACTGACAGAAGTTGTAGACGTAATTTCTAATTTATTCGGATCGCCAGCAAGCTAAAACTAAATCAAATAAGTAAAAAAAGTCAAGAATCTTACCTCCAGTTACTTCACAAATAAGTACAAGTGCATCTCCCTCGTTATACGGACCAATTAGACTTTGTTGAATTTCACCAAAACTATCTTTAATTACTGGTTTCTCCGGTTCAACTGCGAAATTAAGTTGAAAATTATTTTTATCTCGTCGATTAACTAACATAATTTAACGTTTTTATTTCTCAAATATTTATTATAATAATTAAAATCATGTAAAATATAAATGAATAATCAGAAAAATATTCCGTAAAATTTACTGATTTTTTTCTATTAAAATATTTATATAAACATTTAATTTTTTTATTAAATTAATTAATTTTTAAGAAAAATTTTGAAATTATTACTTTAAAAAAATCAATATTAAATGAATTTAC